TGCGAGGCCCGAAAGGCCCGGGCGGCCGCAGCCTCGTGCTCCGGAGCCCTGCTCCGCCTCCGCCCTCCCTGCGCGGGGAAGGGCGCCTGAACCCCCACACGCCCCCGCTCCTGGGGCTCCTGAGCACACGAACCAGCCCGCGGAAAGACACGCCATTTTACGGAAAGAAAATCTCCCGAAAAGCAGAATTTTCAGTTCCCTTTCTTCTTAGATTTTCTTTCAAAACACAAAAACACTTAGGAGTATGCGAAACGGCACCGACCCACAGCAAGAAAAGCCTGGCTGGCCTTCTCCGTAAACACCGGGAAACGTAAATGTGATCTTGCAGGAGAATTTTCTTTTTAAGCGCAGGAAGACCAGCGGCTCTGGGCAGGCGGGGCGGCCGGGCTCCTGGGCCACCGGGTCTGGCGGGCAGCGACTCTCGCCGCACAAAGCCGGCCGCGGCTCCTCGCTGGCCCCATTGTGAGCCTATATGTTAATTAAATATTAACAAAGGAGGGAGGCGAGAACAATGGAGCAAATTTCAGGTCTAGCTGGAGAAATTCGGGTTTCATCAGCGACACACACACACATTTCTGCGGGAAGGTAGCCAAGGGGTGACTCAGTCGAGCTGTGATCTGGGTAAACGACACCGCAAAACGGTTGAGGGTTCTGGGGCAGGGGCAGGGGGTCCGGTTTGCGCAGCCGGCTCGGGGACAAATGGAGTCTGCTCCTAATGGCGGTTCGCAGTTACAGACCCGCATTTAAGGCCGCCGATTTCTATGGGGACACGGGCTTGGCTTTTTAAAATGCCAGACCTGTGAGAAATGCACCCAGCACCTCTGCACACGCTCCCTCTGAAGTCTGCTCCTTTTCTACTGAGCAGCCACCCCGGGAAACCTCTGGGAGAAGGTCCCTTCTATCCGGGGGATCGCAGGCCCCCCCTCCGTCAGGCCGTGTGTGCACAAGATGGGGCTACGCTCTCCTGCCCCCGCTTGGCAAATAAGACCCGGGAGAGGGCAAAGGGCGCCTCTGTCTTCCGCCTTGGCAGCCAGGCCCAGGAGTCCAGGGGCGGGCAGCAGCCCTGCTCTTCCCAGGCTGCATCCGGGATTTCTGGGTCGCAGGATGGATCTAGGTTTGGGGGCGTGTGGGCCGCGTCCCGCTCCAGGTTGAGTTCGAAGGACCAGGGAGGGGGTTGTGCGGCCAGCTTGCCCGCCTGTCTTCCAGGCGCTCCCCCCACCCCCGCCCGGTCCCACCAATAAACTCCAGCCGAGGAGAGGGGGCCGGGAGCTGTGCGAGGAAGCTCCAAAAAGGCAGAGAGAGACAGACAGACAGACAGACAGAGACAGAGACACAGACAGAGACAGAGACAGAGAGATCTGCTGCTTCTGTTGTAAGAAGTCTGTACCCCTATACAATGCGTCCTGCCCCCCAACCTCCTGGACGCAGCCCCGGCCAGCGCCAGTCACGCACAATGTCGCTGTGTGCGCGTCTTTGTGTGTGTCGGGGGAAAGGAGTGTCCCGCTGTCTTCTTCCTTCCAACAAGTCCCCGCGCCGGCGCCACCGCCACCGCACAGCCCCGCGCACTCACCTGAAGACGGCCGGTCGGAGTAGCGCGTGCAGTAGACCCAGGCCGGCCAGAGCATGGGCTGCGCGCCCAGGTTGGCGCTGGCCTGCGAGCTGTCCGAATCCGAGCTCAACGACAGGTCTCCGCCGCCCAAGCCGCGGGCCTTTAGCGCCCCGTCCAGGGGGCCCCCGGGGTCGCCGCCTTTCTTGGCGCCGCTGTGCAGCGAGAGCGCCTTGGAGCCACCTTCCCCTTCTCCCTG